TTTTTAATTTTTTTTTTTTCTCTTTTTCCTCAATGGTAGTCTGCATTGCATGCTTTTCCTTTTTGGCAAAGACACGTTTACCTGTTTTCAGACTTCTAACATATGTCACAACTAATATGAAATCCACAAAAGTCATGAAAGCTGCATGCATTGAAACGAGGCTGATATGTTAGCTGCCTTGTGCCAAGAGTTTTCTGAAGTGGGTTCAGAGTTTAATCATGTTAATAAGGCTGGTTGTGGTTTGATGATAATTTTGCTAGTAAACAGAAAAAATTGCAATGTCTGTGAAGTGATACGGTTCTAAATGAACTGGTTTGTGGTTTTGTTTTTTTTTTCCTCTAGTCTTACGACAATGGCCTGGCACAAGGAGCTGGACTAGAATCTCACGGTAAGAATGTTCTACACCTGTTTTTGAGATCAGGATTGAAAATGCTGTATGAGGTGCACAGTGTGTCATGCCTTTCCTTCTTTTCTGATTTTAAGGAAGTGGGATGATGAGGAGCAAATCCAAAACATGCCTCAGAATTTCACCTGTCTTCTTCCCTTAGTTCCATCTTAATATCAGACCAGATGGGCTCTGAATATATCAACTCCATTAGTCTTACCTCATGAGTGTTTTGTTGAAAGGTGTTGGCTGTAGTTCTCACATCTTGCTGACAGAGCAAACTTTTTCCATATGTACCATTGCTATTCTGGATTTATGTGCAAGCGATTTTGTGCAATGCACCTGATAATATCCAATTTCAGCAGCTATTTGTAAAACCTAGAAACGTTCCCTCTATATAGATTACAGCATCCACTGGGTGCTCAAATCTTGAAACTTCAGTTAATTTTTGTGAACAGTTGATAGTTGTCAAGGTGGAAGTTCCCATGATATTTAAGCAAAATGCTTCTGTGCTGTATGTTGCAGGTAGTCTGCTTGTGACAGAGAAACTGTTGACTTGTGACTGTTACTAAGTCTATCAGATGCTTGCTAGCTTTATCCTTAGTATTGAGATTTAGTAGGATTCCGTCTGTTTTCTTCCCGTAGGATGAGTTGGTGAAAAACTTGAATTATATCCCTGTCTGTTTAAAAAATCAGTTAACTCAGTTACTGTAGAATGCTAGTGGTAGCTTTACTTCAGCATCCTTCTCCTGCTGCATTTCAGCATCAGAATGAAAACAGCTTTACAGTTCCTCATGTCTTCTAGCACCAGGATAGTGTAAGGAACTCTGAGCCCCAGGTTTTGTATCAACAGCTTGGTTACAGTCTTTCCCAGTAATTTTACCGTATGAGGTATTCATTAGAATGAGTTTTCAAGGCCTTTAAAAAGCGATGGTTGTGATGCACAGGCAAAGAGCATGAGTTTCTCTTGTGATTCCAAATTTTGCTGTGCAGTTTCCTTAACAAGAAAAATTCCTTAGAAGGGCAATTTGTGTTTGTTACAACCATGAGATTCCAGAAGTCTTTTCACAGTATTAACCGTGCCTTTTTTTTCCCCCACTTAATTTTTTTTTTTTTTTTTTTTTTGTTTTCGTCTCTTCACACAC